CCTCCATCCCTCCCGCACTGCCAGCGAGCACGACTGTGTGGTGGTCATTACCCGAGAGGTGCCGAGCCAGACCACTGCTGACTTCGTGAGGGACTCGGTGATGTTGCACCAAGCCAAGCCCGAGCTGTACGAACGTCGCGTTTGCTTCTTGCTCCTCCAGCTCTGCAATGGCCTGGAGCATCTCAAAGAGCATGGCATCATCCATCGTGACCTGTGCCTGGAGAACCTCCTGCTTGTCCCCTGCAAGCCCCCCATGAGCTGTGTGAAAGCCAAAGATGACAAACACTTACCCCGCCTCATCATCAGCAATTTTTTGAAAGCCAAACAGAAGCCAGGAACTGGAGACTCCAAACTGAAGAAGAGTCAGGCCCGGCTGGCCCCGGAGATTGTGTCAGCTTCTCAGTACAAGAAGTTTGATGAGTTTCAGACTGGTATTCTCATCTACGAGCTGCTGCACCAGCCCAACCCCTTTGAGGAGAAGGTGTACCTGAGGGAGCAGGAATACAGCCCCGAGGACCTCCCTGCTCTGCCCAGCCTGTCCATCTACTCCCGGGGGCTCCAGCAGCTGGCCCACCTGCTACTGGAAGCTGATCCCATCAAGCGTGTGCGGATCACCGAGGCCAAGCGGATGCTGCAGTGTCTGCTTTGGGGGCCCCGGAAAGACCTCACCGAGCAGCCCCTCAGCCACGAGGAAGCCCTCCGCCGGGTGCTTCAGAACTGGGTGGACATGAAGCGTGCCCTGCTCATGATGAAGTTCGCAGAGAGGGCTGTGGACACGGAGCGGAGCATTGAACTGGAGGACTGGCTGTGCTGCCAGTACTTGGCATCTGCTGAGCCAGCCTCCCTCTTGCACACATTAAAACTCCTGCAGCTGCTCTGACCTTGGATGTGTCTCGGAGGCAGCTGAGGACTCCTGGTTGCATTGTGGCTAAAGGTACACAGCCCCTTTATACGTGAGAGGCTTGAATCTCAGCTGCAAATGCACGTTCAGCTCCTACCCTGCACTCTGATCAGAGTGCACAAGACACGTTTAGTACCCTCAGCACTGTTAATTTGTGAGCAGGCAAAACTGGGAACCTACCCCTATTGGGGGGGGATTTTTTTTTTTGGTATGGTAAGCCTGTAGACTAATAAACTCCTGCCTGTGTGTGTGCATGTTTCTAATGAACTCAGTGTACTTGAGCTGATTTCTGTGCCTGTGGGACAGTCCTTTGATCCCTACCACCCCTAAAGCATCAGAGCCTTTTTGCCTGTGAACACCACTGCTCTCCAGCTTGGGTGGCAGTGAGGAACGGTCGGCTGCTTCTCCTGGGGAGCAAGAGCAATTCACGTAATGCTCTTTTGCAAGGGAGAACCAGGAGGGGCTTTCAAATTCACATCTTTCATGGGTTTTGGCATCCATTTTGCTTCTCACTTTAAAAACAAAAACTACTGCTTGTTTCTGTGTATCAGCTGTATTTTCCACTGTGGGCAAATCAATAGCAGCTGCCTATTACCTTTGTTAGATACTAATACAGCATGGCTTTCCTGTCTAGTGGTGCAGCCATGCAGGCTTTTGATTGTGAAAGGGTGAGAGAGCACCCAGGGTGGGTCTGTTCATGAGGATGATGCTGCATGCTGGGAATTACCCCTTGTAAAGTTAATGAAATGGAAAATCCCCAATTCACCTCCAAGGCCTTGGGGGGGAAGTCAGGGCCAGGTTGCTTTGCTTTCCCCATCCCTCCAGCTCCCTCCCTTCACCTGGTAATTCACCTGTCCCTTGCGTCTAGCATTTATTTAACCCCTTTATCGAGAGATGAGCTGGCATGTGAAAGGCCAGGGCCACTGGCCTGTGGTCTGGGAGGGTCTTATTGCTGCTGGTGTTTGAATTAGAAATGCATAGGGCTAGGTGCATGGCGAACACGCTCCTCCAACAGATGCGATGCGAGAGCAGCACGATGGAAGAGGGGGAAGCTGGCCTGGCTCCCTCCAGCCCCTTTCCTTCCATCCAGACTTATAGCAGCCACTCAGAAGCTGTGCTGCTGCTCAGAAAAACTGATTTCCCAAAAGGTGGTGGGTTGCTTTTACTCTTCCACCCCAACACGAGGCAGAGATGAGCTGCCCTGCTCCTGGCACCAGTTCTGCAGCCCTTGGAGAAGGGGTAGGTTTGGGACACATGGAGAGAGCCCAGCATCAGCTTAGCTGAGACAGGATGTCACTAGCTGAGCTACCCCCCTCCCAGCTCAAAAAGGGGAGAAATTAATGAGCACTTTTCTCCAGCCTTGATTCACCTCCAGATCCAGCCTGCTCTCTTGGGGGAATTCTAATTCCCCAGGTTTTTTGACACTTCATACACTTTCTGTGAATCTTTTCCAGGCTTCTCACCTGGATATATATATATTTTTTTTTTAATGTTTGGCTATGGTTGCTGCTGATGGGAGGGGATGGTTCCTTGGCTGGGCACCCATTTGCAATGAATTTCCCCTTATCCCCTTAGGGAAGAGGCCGTGCACGTCCCTGCCTGCTGAAAGAATGTGGGATGGCTCCAACTGCGGCCGTCGGGGATTTTTTTATACACTGGCTTTCTTGCGTCTGACTCTTGGGTCCACTTCCCTCCAACATAGGTGGCAGGAGCCTTCTGGCTTGGGAACCACTGTCCTGTGGACCATCCTGGACACATCGCCCTGGAAAGTCTGGCCCTGGCTTGCTGCATGTGGTGTCACGTGGGCCAGCAAAGTGATGAAACAGCTGGAGAACCTGCCTGAAAGAGCCCAGCATTTTTTTCAGAGATAAGATTAAGGGATGACTCAGTTTCTAAGCATGGATATAGGGAATAAGTTGGAGGCAGCTCTGCAGGACAGCGCTGAAGGAGACAGGGCCTGACCATGACAAATCCAAACTGTGCTGGCAACAAGGAGATTATATGCGGGGCAAGTGGCTTGCAAGGCTTGGGTTGAGTACTCAGTGGGACTCAAGAAGTAGCCAAATATCCAACCAACACACATAAAACAAGGCTGGCTCCGTTTTGCATGCTGAGTTTCAGTTTAGTGACAAACATGGATACAGGTATTGGCACAAGGCCTGCACGGTGTGGGATGTTAACCTGATCAAAATGCTCTCCCTTGAATTTGGGCACTTGAGACTGGTTCTAATGTTGGTCCTGGTACTCTGCAGCAGCATGCCCAGCAGACCAGATGCCAACAATAGTCTCGCAGCATTTTCAGCTATATTATTTTGAGATTTGGTGGATGGCTTCTTGCTCTCATATAAACAGAAACTCTTAGCTCCATGCTTTCCTGATACCTTCCCCTGTGGTAGCTCATGCTTCTTCTCCAGCCTAAACAGTCCTAGGCTTTTGGGTCCTAGGCCAATGTGTGAACTGGAGAAGTGCATTAGGGTTTCTCCTGTGTATCTTTGTGGGGAAAGCGACACCTAAGCCTCGGTTGAATGCCACAGCTGAGTCCAAAGACTTTGCTGGCTTACTCTCCCTTGCCCATGCTGTCCTCAGGACACGATGGGCAGTAGCCCCCCTTTTCCTAGCAGGCATTCTTGCCCCTATGCCCAGGATCCTCTGCAAGAATGGTGGAGGGGATGCTGCCTCTTTCCCGTGTGGCAGCTGACCCTGTGCTCTGGGGGCCAAGCATGTCACCCACTTGGTGGGGGGTGCGTATTGCAGGAGGCATCTAACAGGGAACACAGTTTGGCGTCCACATGCCACAGGGACAGAGCTGAGGAGCAATTGCTGGAGGAGCACCACAGACCCACGCATCTTGGTAGTACTGCTGGGTGGGGAAAGGGGTGTTTCTTGACTTGTGCTGCCCCCAGACAGACTGCCAGCCCCTTTCCCTGTGCCCAGGCTCCCAGTGGTCCATGCACACAAGAACGGTGGCAAGGCAGCTCTCTGCCAGTGCCTGCTATTGCCATGGAGGACAGATTCCCAGGAGCTGGACACAGTTGCCAACCGGTGCATCTGTAACACAGATGAGTTTGGTGGGGAGGTTGTGTGCTTCCTATGTGAGACGAGGCTGAGACCCAAAGCGCCAAGACAAACACTGGGCAGGCAGTGCTGCTAGAAGCCCTCTTGCCCAGTGGTCTGGTGACCTCACCTCCCTGCTTCAGAGCATCCCTCAAAGCTGGGGGATATCCCAGGAGTAAAAGCCAACCTGGTTCTCTGGAGATGCTGTTATATGAGATTGCTTGGCCAATAGCACTTCTCACCCTGCATGCTCATGTGTGCAGGGACGTGCCCCACCGGCCACACAAGTTAGCCCAGGACAGGCTCAGTTCTGCTTCAGCTTCTTGGCAAGCAGCAGCAGCAGCAGCGCAAAGCCATAGGAGAGGGGAAGGATGCTGTTGCAGGAAGTCCAGAGCAGGTAGAGCATGGAGAAGCTCTCGGTCTCCACAGCCACCAGGATGTAGGCGACAATGAGCTGCGTGAAGACCCAGGTTGTGCCACGGTAGGGGAGCTTCACACCCTGGGAGGTGGCCCAGGCACTGAGGAAGGGATGGATGCGGTAGTCGGCCTCCACCATGACAGCCCAGCACAGGAAACCAAAGACCTGCCCAGGCCGGAGGCTGTGCCACCAGGCAGAGAAGGCAAAGGTAGCTAGGAGTGGCTGGGCCGGGCAGCGCTGGAAAACAAGTCTCCTCAACCAGTGGGATGTGCTCGTGTTCCAGGTTCGGGTGAAGACGGCCAGGCGGTGGGTGGTCTCCAGTGTCCACAGGTCGTGGACGGAAAGGTCTCCCTGGCCTGCCTCCGGCTTGAAGCCTGCCACCTCGAGGAGGGCCTCATCCAGCACCCAGTGCCAACAGTAGGCCAGCCTGAGGAGCAGGGCCCGCGCCCAGACGCAGGGC